ATTTGTACAAGTATGGTGAATAAAACGGGTAGATATTTATATATAATGTGTGTATATAGTGTAATAACACCACACAGTATTGTTGGAGGAGAAATATTAGTGCGTCTGGCCTTGAGGGCGGCAGCCATCAGCTGACTGTGTGAGGTCCTACGTCTTTGTGCCTTTACTCACCATACAAGCTTAGATGTACAGTTATGGTGAACAAAACATGTAAATACTTATATATAACGTGTGTATATAAGATATATAGCATAATAACACCACACAGTATTGTTGGAGGAGAAATATTAGTGCGTCTGGCCTTGAGGGTGGCAGCCATCAGCTGACTGTGTGAGGTCCTACGTCTTTGTGCCTTTACTTATCATACAAGCTTAGATGTACAGTTATGGTGAACAAAACATGTAAATACTTATATATAACGTGTGTATATAAGATATATAGCGTAATAACACCACACAGTATTGTTGGAGGAGAAAAATTAGTGCGTCTGGCCTTGAGGGCGGCAGCCATCAGCTGACTGTGTGAGGTTCTACGTCTTTGTGCCTTTACTCACCATACAAGCTTAGATGTACAGTTATGGTGAACATGTAGATACTTATATATAACGTCTGTATATAGTGAATTATAGCAAAAACATTATTGTGGGAGGAGAATGTGGGCGAGTCAGATGACTGGAGGGAGTTCGGGAGTGGCTGGCTGGTACACGGCGGTCACTCCTCGTTACTTTTTGACTTATAATAGCTACTTAGTGGTTCGTTATAGTGAACAAAACATGCAGATACTTATATATAACCTGTGCTTATAGTGTAATAACCGACAAAGTATTTGTTCACTAATTGATGAACATAATTGAATCAACAATATGCACACCATATTTTTGAGTACAGCAGTGATTCACTCATTTTATTATATAAATATATCAAACTACACACTATTGAATAATATTACAGCAAAAAAAACTATGAAAAATCAATCAGAGACATTGAAATAATTAGGTAATTATCTCTTTGTGGCAACTCCGGCCTGACAGCTGGCGAGCAACAGACTGCCTGGGATGCATACTGAGTCAGCGCTTATAATTTGCCAGACTTCCCCGCCCTATAGCGGGCAATATATGCCACTTACGATTTTTTTTAGTATTTTTCCCGTGATCAGTGAACACAAATTAACAGGTTAGGAAGAAAAAATAATTTTTTTTTTCAAAATGACATGCGCCTGTGGGGATGACAGGATATTAAACCCCGAGCATGTTAAGGGTTAACTTGACGGTGAGGAATGGATGGTGTTCTGTCTATTGGCCAATAGATAGAACGACACGTCAACCATGTACGGACTTCCTCATGAGAATACCGTTGCAAGGGATTGCAAGGCTCCTCGTGTAGCACAACACCAGGTCTACAATTGGCCAATGGGGTTGCGGCAAACGTGTCGGAACCAATGATATTGATCGTTACATGATCGGTAGCAGAGGTGATGTCATAAACACGTCACGACCACATCACTGTTGTTATTGAGATTTACCCTAGAGGTCAGAGCTTATCTCTCGCCTCGCGGGTGCCTCTCTTTCTCTCATGCTTGGCACCTCCAGCTATGTACTCACTGACCCTTTGGCAAGTATGCTTAATTTCCCTGTACCTAATTTACCTTTGGGCATACGGTGGCCTCCGTTTGTTATAAGTATTCCTGGTTATGTGGGCATCCTGGGGACACCCAACATGACAGTTTACATCCAGGGTTATCAGAGGTAGGGCCCTATTCACAACAAGGTGCATGGTGCACCACAATGAGCCATTCAACTCAGCTGTGGGAGAATCTTGAGAGACCATACTCTCACAGGCAGCAAGAGCAGCAAACTTACGAACGTCGTGTGTCGGAAATCCGACACATATAATAATAAGTTACCCCATTAAAAAAGAGAATGGTTGACTACGTGATGCCATCACAACAGACGTGTATATATTAACTCTCATTTCTTTTTAAACAACAGTTTAGTGTTTAAACTTAATAAAAAAAGTATTCACTAGGACTGAATATAATTACCAACACAAGGAATATAGCTTAACTCTCTATTCCTTAAGATACAAATAGAACCACAAAACATTTTAGGACGTCTCCCCTAGGGAGGCATCGATCATGTACGCGACAGAATCATAACAAAACAACACGAAACAAGTGCTCCTGAAGAATTAAGATATGCTTCACACCGGACAGACACCTTATTCTGTCCTAGTGAACAGCCACAGCAATTCTACAACATAAGGAGCGCTTAAATATCCGACTACTTTATATTCTGTTGTTATTATTGGTGCACTGTATAATATAGAATAAGTAGCGGTTATTAGCATGAGAAAAACACAAACACAGTGAGTAGCATTTTACTCAGCTCTTTACTACACACACAAAATTCCATGTCGCCTGTATTTACATGTTAATGGAGCCAATATTAGTGCAATCCATTACTTTACAGGTAAGCTTAATGTGAAGTTACTGAAGCAGGCAGCTGGCCTACCTTACCTTGAGGTTACCTTGAGG